GGATTCACGAGTGGAAATAGTATATCGTGAATCTGATAAAGAGCACAGTCGATGGGGTTTTGCCTTGGTTATGCCGGAAATAGAATTAATTTGCGTCCTCAATGTGTATGGGGCCATGGACCTAACAAAGTTCAGGAGAGGAGATAATTTTTCCATGATATTTGTAACCATATCCCTAGTGGTATCCTTGTTGTCACTGCAAGGGATTTCAATGCTGCCCCTGATAGATGGATGGATCGTTGGAAAATCCCGTCCCCATATCCCGCTTACATTGAAGAGGATAAGAGGATTATCCAACAACTATGTGAATCAGAAAATTTTTACAACACATGTAGGCGTTTTTTTCCACAAGAAGTTAAGAACGTTTACATACAAGCATCCGAAATTGTGTCATTCCACAGCGGTCCAGGTCTAGAATAGATTTGATACTTACGTCCGAAAATCTGAATAGAGCACTAGTAGGGGCCAACATCTCCTATGAGCCTTTGGCCGAGGGCAGATCATAAAATGTGTGTGATCTTATTGTCATGTCGTAAAACAACCGATCAAGGAAATAACTTCTATAAAAACTCCTCTCTATTGTGGAAATTTTGGCAGCCAACCAAGGATAAACAAGTCTCATATTTATCGTGGTTTAATAATGGATTAATCTTCTTAGCTAAAAATTGTAATGAATAATAGAATATTGAAAATTTAAAATTAATTGCTAAAAATAGACGCTCTCAAGAAATGCAAATTCAAGAACAAATACTGAACTTTGAACAGCAAGACTCACCCCAATCAGTAAATATTCAAAACCTAAGAACTCAACTTTTAACCTTTGCCCAACATCATTGGCAAGGTCAACTAATACGGGGTAAACTAACAAACCACTTGACAAAAGGGCATATGGATACTAATTAACCTGTGCACACGAGAGCAAGGAAATCAAATATGGAAGCCTTGATAGACCAACAAAATTTTTTTCAAGAGGATCTTATCACACTAGTCAGTAGTTTGGAAGTGGCTTATGATTTTTTTAAAGATCTTTTCATTTCTATGGTGGATTCAAAGGCAGCCAAGCAAAGCTATGCAAGGCTTTCCAGAACCCCTAACATAAACACTAACTCAGGAGCAGCGAGAAAGATTGGAGGATTTTATCACTAAGGAAGAAATTTGGACAGCCTTGTTACAAATGGAGGAGGATAAGAGCCTAGGAATAAATGACCTACGCAAAGAGTTTTTGGAAACTATGTGGCCATTTTTTGCAGAGGATTTTATGGAATAGTACAAACATGTATAAGAAGCTAGACAAATGAGAGAGATTGTAGGACAAGGGATACTATAAACATGTATAAGAATTGAACCATTACTTTACTAATTGTGGTGTATAAGATGTTAGTGAACGCTCTTGCAAACCGCTTTATTCCATTGATGCCAGGTATCATCCATCCTTCCCAAATGGGATTTATTAATAAAAGGAATATTTAGGATAATATATTATTAATCAATGAGATGGTTAAACTGTCGTCCCAGAATTCTCAAAATGCAGCTTTTGTCTTTATTGACTTTGAAAGGCATATGATCATGTTGACCGACAATTTTTGGATGCATGTATGGAAAAGTTGAATTGTGGCCCTAATATGCGAAGGTTGGTACACATTCTTCATTCTAATGCTACCGCAAGAATTCAGGTTAATGTTTTACCCCCTAAGATTCATCTTATGAAATCGCTCAGACGGGGGATTCCTTAACACCCTTTCTTATTTTTATTATTATGGAAGCTCTAGGGACGAATCTTCGTTCGAATCATGACCTTAAACGCCTGCAGATCAGAGGCATACCTGAGGAGGCGATCCCCATTTGTTTGATGTTTGTAGATGATCAGACCATCATGACGAAGGCTTCAATAGGTAATATGGAGGAAATTTAAGCATTGATGGATAGTTTCTCCTTATTTTTGGATATGGTGGTTAATTGGGGAAGCAAGACTCAAGGTTGGTGGATTCACTCCCAAGGGGATAGACCCCCGGGAAGGACGAGGGTAAAAGGAATGCTGCTGGTGGCGCCTGTAAGGGTATTAGGGGTTATGCTCACGGCACAAGGAAAACCGAACATAAATGATGCATGGACCTCTACCTCGGCGTTGGGAAAAAGCAGAAATTGAAGAATCGGCATACATCGTTGTTCAGCAGGGCTCTTCTAATCAATAATGTGATATTGGCTTCTATAATATGGGCAATAGGTAAGACGTTTGCAAAGGATCTTAAAAGGCACCTTTGGGGAGGAGACCATGAAACCCAGCATGTGATTCCTAAAGTTGCATGGCCTACACTTATTCAACCCAAAGATAAAGGAGGTTTGGGTATTTTAGACCTGCAAATCCAATGTCAAGCATTAGCACTGCAGTGGCTAAAAAGACTTATCTTAGCAACCGATCTTCCATGGCAAGCATTGGCTATGGAGCAGGTGTGCAGGTTGGCGCCTCCTACCACAAATCCATCCCCTCACTTGGCTAGAAGATAGGTATTGGAGTATACCTCGCCCACACTTAAATCCACGGCAAGAGGGGGAGAGAGGAGAAACTAGAAAATATATAGTCCAGGATAATTTTTGGTCGATGTTGTTGAAGATATGGCGGAAACTGCCCCTTCCTAATAAATCTCCCCCCTTAAGATATGAGGAAATATTAAGGCAACCCATTTTTGGAAACTGATGGATTACTGACCTAACTGGGAGGGTGTTTATTAGTTCTGAGTCTCCCTGGTCCAACTGGGTGAAATATGGAATTGTGAGACTTAAGGATCTCTGGAACCCATTGAGCAATAACAATATCCCATTCGCCTGGAAGGTTGCACTAAAGACGGGGCCAGTTTTAGTTGAAGGTGACTGGATTGGTGGGGCCAGTTTTAGTTGAAGGTGACTGGATTGGTGGTGGTTACCGTCCAAATGGGTCTCTTGCATACTTGCGGCGCACTTCTGCGGTGCGCTGTGCGCAAATTAGTGATCCGCTCGTTTTTTTTTGTTTTTTTTTTTAGGGATGTGTGTGTGTATACACAGAGAGAGAGAGAGAGAGAGAGAGAGAGAGAGAGAGAGAGAGAGAGCAAAGGATCCCTTTCACACATATAAGAGGGCCCATGCAGGTAATCTGGAGTCCTTGCAGCAAATTAGTGTATACCCTCCACCGAAATGGAGGCAGGCAATGAGTATAAAATGGAGCAGGAGCTGGCCGAATATATACTCTGGATTCGAATTCAGGTCTGTGTTTAAGTAGTTATGAGTTGCTCACTTAGCTAGGCCCTGTTGGTCTCTGCACGTGATTCCCAGGGCTTGGCTGGACTACTCACCAAATGTGCAAAATTAGAATGAATCTTCTGCTAGAACGTGGAATAATACACAGTCATATGTTGTGTCTTCTGTGCATGTGGTGAGTAGAGGCCATTAGGCCCACTGCACGTATTCCTAAGAAAACAAAAACGAAAAAACAGAGAATACCAGAACGAGTCCTTTGGGACATCCGTTAAAATTGGAACGATGCAGAGAAGATTAGCATGGCCCCTGCGCAAGGATGACACGAAAAAAAAAAAGAAAAAAGAAAAGAAAGAAAAAAAAACCCGGAAAAACATGGAACGATGCAGAGAACATTAGCATGGCCCCTGCGCAAGGATGACACGAAAAAAAAAAAAAAAAAAAAAAAAAAGAAAGAAAAAAAAACGGAAAAACAACTCATAACAGCTGATACACAGACCTGAATTCGAATCCAGAGTAAATATTATCGACCCACTCATTGAAAACTGGAAGCATAATGCTTATCTCTGCTTCATGAGGGGTCCTTGCTAATTCGCTGTAGGGGCCCTTCGGGAAAGAGACGCCCTCATGCAGCGAAGCACCCATATGGCCACCTTCAGAAATGGATTGGGGGGGATGTGGTTGGGTCTGAGCCTCCCTTCAAGAAGAATTTCCATCTCGTTTTTTCTGATTGGTCAGTCTGCATCAGGGTGCTTCGCTGCAAAAAAGCTTGAATGTATTTCGGAGCATAGTAAAAACAAGTACAGCCAGGTTCTCATGATATCCTGGCAGTCTGCATTAAGGTGCTTCACTGCGAAAAAGCTTGAATAGAACTCGGAGTATAGTAGGAATAAGTCCAGCTAGATTCTCATATTCTGGCAGTCCTACATGGACTGAAGAGGCTGTTTCCTGCTCATATATCTGATTCTGAATTTCCAAATGTCTTTTCTCAGGGGTGCTGGACCCGGTTTCCAGCTGGTGAAACTCCCCACCAATAGAATGGACTCAATGGAGTCACCAGTGACGCAGCTAGGGGTGGGTGCTCTTATCACCACTTCTAGCTGTATTTGCTGGTTGTTGTTAAAAAAAAAAGAGGAGGACGGTGGGCAAGGAGGAGAGTGACGAGGGTGCTTTCCTGGCTATGGTGGTCTGCATCTTCATCTTCTTGGTTGGGGCTGCACGTGGAAGGTCCCAAAGGGGGTTGGCTCCTTCAAGGAAGACTTCGGGTTAGTGTTAGGCATGGTGGCCATCGTAGGAGGGACACATTGTCTTTGTGTTGTCCTTTGAAAATCGGAGCAGGGCTCCGTTAGTCCGCCATAGGCACCTACTTAGTGAAACAGGAAGGTGTATGAGATGGTTATGGTGGACCCCATGAGTGGCTGGCAGTAAGGAGGAGATTTCTTTCATTGCTGTTATTATTATTGTAAAATTTCTTTCATTGCTGTTATTATTATTGTAAAATTTATTTCATTGCTGTTATTATTATTGTAAATAATAAGGAGTTGGGGGTACAAGGAGGCTGGAGATGGTGGCAGGTCGTAGAGGGATTTGACGTTTGTCTTTGCTGGTGTACATCTTTTTCTTCTTCTATTCTTATTTCTTCTCCTTCCCTCGCCTGTTTCTCTTTCCCAGTTCTTTTATTTCAGTTGCTATTGAAAGGCATTGTTTTTCTTTGAGTTCTTGCACTTCACGATAGCCAGGATCATAACACATGTTTCCTTTCATTTCCACAGGTTCGAGTCGCTGATCCGGTATATCTTGGACTGTCCATCGAGAGGGGGGCTGTTTGTGCAAGCAAGGTTGTAAGGAAGGTGAGTTGACTGGGTACTATTAGGATTGGCACTCCGATTCGCCGAACATTTTTGTATTCCATCTGTTTACAGTCCTCTTCGCATGTTCATAAACTTGTACTACTCGTGGGGACTGGCCGGGGAATCGCAGGGACCAAAATCATACCAAATGTTAATGAAAGAAACATAGTATCAATGAAGATTTATAAGAGAGTCAGAGACGGAGTTGAAACGGTATTCACCAATTCGTGGTAGCTGAGGCAGATCCCAGGGCTTGATCCCTAGTTCCCCAACTTACCTGTGTATAATATCTACGTCAACTCGAAGAGTTGAACCTGCGACCTGTAGAACCGCCAGTGGTAGGTAGATTGTCGTAGGGCACAGGATAGACTGGAATCGAACTGTAGACCTGTAGGGTAGAAGTCTAGACAGTTCCGGAGTTGTAGCTGAAGACTGCCTGAAGAGTCAAGGTCGTAGCTGCTACTTACCTGAAAGG